TGCTAGCTCATGGACAGCTAATACTCACGATCTCCGGCTCTGCAAGATTCGGAAGGGAATGATTCAGATTTCTCTTGGCACAGCTACTAGAAGACGTACAACTGTGAGACAGGTTGCTCACGTCACGTCACATCTACGTCGACAAGCTCAGTTTGAGCCTGCGCAGGTCACTTGGCAATCAGGAAGTGAGTGCTTCTAATTGACTTCACTTCTCTCCGTTGAAGTCTTCTTTTACTTTCTATGGTTGAAGTCTATGGGGTCGCGGTGTCCATTTATTTTACTGTCTATGGTAGCTACAGGTGAAGATAACCATCAGCTCAGCTGGCAAAAATCTTTCCGTGGCAGGACACCGTTAAACTGTATGTCTACCTGGTGATCCGTTATCGTTAAATTCGTCACCCTAATGATGACGACCTGTCACAGTTGTGCCTGTCTGACGATCCATCATATTAACCTTCAATGCCCTGGCACCACAAGCGTCGATCTCCTCCGAGCCACACAACAGTTGTTTCATCAAAGAATTCCTGATTTGAACGAGAAGGTTGAATGAATGACTCACTCATAAAGACAGTAACTTGCCACCACCTACTGGCCGTTTTACTTTAATATTTAATCTATGACATGGAAGGGGAATGTCGGTCCTGGGTGCAGAGTTTAGCTCCTCCAACCCTAATCAAACACACCTGAACCAGCTAATCATCATCTTTAGGATTATTAATACTGCTGTTAGGTTTTTATCGGAGTAGACGCTATGACAGCGGCACTCCAGAAACGACGTTTCCTATCCATGATCTTTTCAATAATTTTCATGTTGCTGTATTAACAATTGAAGCTATATTTAAAACATCAAACCTAAAGTAATATGCAATTATGTAGCTATGTAAATGAACACAATAAGTATGTAGCCTAAGCCTAATAAATCACTGCATCAAATCCACCTGGTTTCTGTAATCTCCTCTGTACACTATTATTTTCATTAATCTTTTGTGTTATTGTAGCTACATCTAGTCTTAGAATTAATTTACCAGGCTACCTATATGATCACTTAACAACAATTAAGAAAATATTCGAGGATGGCGTATTTAACTGAAACGGATCGCCAGGTAGGCTCAGGCTGTGCGTTTTTTTCTTTTCTTTTACAAAGTCATGTTCATTTTAAAATGTAGTTGTTGTTGTTCTTTGTTTTACATACTCTGAAATGTACCACAAATGCCTTATATTTGTCTTGTAGTTTTTGCACCGTAGGCCTAGTCTGTAATGGAACTAAAAAAAATTATATATATATATAAGGTAGGCTGTGTGTAGCGTTGACAGGTCAAAGTCCTAAATTCTTCAGATGGGTAAAATGGCCGTTTTTAACTTAATTTGTGCAAAGAAATGTAGTTTCAAAACTGCAGGATGTTTTAGAGCTGCCTTAGCATATTAACATCATGAGCCAAGTATTGTTTAACACCAATTACCAGTGTGCACATTAAAATGTAGGCTATCTCAAAAAAGAGGAATTTAATTATTTGTATATGTCCAGAGTTCAGATAGCTTTACTGCTTAAAAGTCCTTGTAACGTTTAAAATAAACTGTTGTCTTCCCCTGTACGAGTGAGCATCAGAGCATTTTTTCCAAACAAAATTATTACATTTATCTTGCCTAAATGTTTGCGCTCATTGCATTTTTACAATGGGGTAATATTGTTAAAAATTTACACAACACAAGGAAGCTTGATTTAAATTGTTTAATTAAATTGAAAAAAGTAGCACAAATACATACAATACAATAAAAATACAAACAAAAGACAAATAAAGAGAAAAGTTTTTGAATAGGTCTAACACTAGTATTCATATACAGAAACTGAATGAAGTAATCAAATGGAAAATAACACTGGGTAGTATTTTAGTCCTGAATAAATTAAAAACATAGGCTATTAATCCTGATTCCTTTAACTTAAAGCTATATTTTGTTGTTTTGACAACAAAATTAATGACAGACACATATGGCTGCCATCACTTTAAGAGCTAGTGCACGAACCCTGTGTTCATTATACTTTTACATGCGTTTTATGCTTATTAAAGACAAAACCGACTATGTTTAGAGTATACTCACGAAGACCGAAATTGACAATTTTGTGTGTTAAAGCAATATAATCCGCGAAAAATAACTTTTGTTACTGGCCAGCTGTTTTTGAGGTGGATTTTCTATGAATGTGCGAATAGAAAATCATCTCAGAGAGCGCGAGCACTGATTAGTTTAAAATCACTTGAATGTTTAAACTAGTAAGACTTAAAAAGACGTGCAAATGGTAAACTTCAGTCACGATGCACTGCTGGTCCGATTGTGCAATTGAATATTCCGTCATGTCCCGACTCCTAAACGCGAGTGTGTATTATCGCCGCAGCGCTTGATGCTTGCCTTGCACAACACATTTTGAGAGAAGAGATAGAAGACGCGGCATCACTGAACACTCACGCTGTTTGTGAAATTGCGTCTGGCAGAGAGTTGTTAAAGGGATAGTTCACTTTGAAATTCATTTTTGATATGTTTTAGCTTACCTCAAGGGCATCCAAGATGTAGGTGTCTTTGTGTCCACAGTATTTTCAATTTTTATATTTTTAGGTCAAACCGTTCTTGTCTGTCAGTCATATAATGCAGTCCTATGGGGTCCACCTCAAAGAGCATACACAGAGAAGTCCAAATTAAACATGATTTAAAGCTGCAGTAGGGAGTTTTGAGAAAACGTTGACTTAGCCTGAAAATTTGAACAAGCACAACTTACAGGTCCCACCCCCTTGCTCTCTGCTGCGCTACAGCCCTCCCTCCACAGCTCGTCCTCCACAGCGGAGCCCGTCGTGAACGCGCAGGCTAGTAAACAGGGCCACCGATAACAGCGGATAAAAAGTTATATGGCACATTCACTAATAGGGACTAAACGTCAACAATATGCTTTACATTGACTATGGCCTGCCCATACTTTGACTACAAAATTGGTCCTCAAATCATTATGTATTTTGCAATACATGTAACTTTATAACGTTGCACTCTTTCTATAAGTTATAAATAGCTAGTAAGATAACGTTAATATAACGATATATAATGCTAGATAAGGTGTGCTAGTACATTATTATTTTAGCAACATGACAAGCCAGTGAATTAGCAGGTTTCAATTGTTGCTTAGCAGAGTGTGTGACATTTTATCATTTTATCTCTTTTATCTTTATAGTTTTTACACCGAATCAATGGGCTCTGTCTAATTCTTTCTTTTTCGCTTGTTTATCGTCATCAGTCTTTTTCCCTTTACCTCTTTGTTTTATGAGCAGGTGTCACTCGAGAATTGGCAGTTTAGGTTGTTTCTCCGTCATTAGCACAGCTGCAGCTCACCGGCAATCTTGAGTTTGAACGACGGCTCGCGCTGTGCAAAAGAGGGGTGTGATCAGCGCGTACACGAGCGTGATTGACACTGCAAAGACATTCCTCCTGGCTCTGATTGGTTGTTTCTGACCGGGAGCGTGTATTTCTGCAAATGGCAATAGGACCACTGGGAGGAGCCAGAGGAGATTGATTTTTTCACAGATTGTCTGTCTCATATTCTACTGTCAGGACATAATGACAGTTTTAACAAATATGTAAAAAATATTTTTTACAAAAGCTACCTACAGCAGCTTTAATGACTCGTAAACGTAAGTACACATTGATGGCCTAAGACACGAAACGAGCGGTTTGTGTGAGAAAACGAACAGTATTTATATCGTTTTTACCTCTTGTAAACACAGCCAGGTCCAAGTGATCTGAGGTCGCCGGCGCTTCGGTCTTTTCCGGAAAGCACCGGAAGTGATCTCTCGCGCGTGTATGTCACTCATACAATTGTTTTATTTATTATTTTTTTGGAATTGTTTTCTTTTACGACGGTTTAAACATCCCTGATAAGCGCAAATTAGTACCCTTTTAATTGGCCGTCTTACCAACAATCTCTGCTCTGTGTAAACAATGAGTGACGTACACGCGCGAGGTTTCACTTCCGGCGCTTTCCGGAAAAGACCGAACCGCTCGCGACCTCGGATCACTTGGACATGGCTGTGTTTACAAGAGGTAAAAACGATATAAATACTGTTCGTTTTCTCACACAAACCACTCGTTTCGTGTCTTAGGCCATCAATGAATACTTACATTTACGAGTCATTAAATCATGTTTAATTTGGACTTCTCTGTGGATGCTCTTTGAGGTGGACCCCATAGACCTGCATTATATCACTGACTGACAAGAACGGTTTGACCTAAAAATATCAAAATTGAAAATACTGTGGATACAAAGACACCTACATCTTGGATGCCCTTGAGGTAAGCTAAAACATATCAAAATTAATTTCAAAGTGAACTATCCCTTTAAAAGAATGATTTGATTTTATAATCTGTGTGGATTACGATTGCGGGAACTTCCCGCATTATAAATGGGAGACCTGCGGGAATGATTAGAATTATGCGCATTATGCGCAATACCCGCAATCCCGCGCCGAAATTCAAGCCCTGTGTGGACCAATGGTGACGCTTAAGCCCGCCCTAATTTACAGGAAACTCGAACTGCAACATTTGGAAGAGCAAGCGCAGAACATGGAAAGAAGAGTGAAGAGAAAAACAGCACAAGCGTACAAAAAAGTAAATTATGAGCAGAAAATGAAAGAGCGCAAATTACAGAGTAATACAAGGAAAACATAATTTTAAAGAAAACATGAACAAGTTTAAGTTTTGTGAAAAATATTTTTTAATGTGTTTAAAGTTTTTATTCATGCTTGTTATTTTTTGATTCACGCTTATTATAGCCGCAATACATTTGGCGGGATATTGATCCCATAGATTTGCGCCTGGCACTGGTGCAAACTTTGCGTGCGCACCTGAAAAGTTCCCGTGTGTTGGGGTCGTAAAGAGACGGTTCTACGTCTAAATAAACTCAATTCTGGTCAAGATAAAAAAAGACAGAAATGGCTAATTGAGAGCAGGGTGGCCAAGCTTCGGTCAATGGTGGCCACACCCCCCTAGCTCCGCCCCTGTATGAATTATATTATTGTATTTTTAAACAGGATGTAAAAAGCGTCAGCTGATTCTGACCCTCCACTCAGAAGTCCATAGAGAGAGAACGCTGCTGGACAGGGTTACGTACCATCACGACATTGCGTCCACGTGCGAAAACATCATTGTAGCCGATTTCTTCCATCACACGTCCCTCAAGCCCGAGATCTTCATCTTCAAGTGCCTCGTGCAGACTCTGTGCGCTGTAAGCGTGTGAGTGCGGATCGTGCGTGAAAGGGTGCGAGCGCGAGCTGCTCCTGCGTCCATGGAAACTGCCCCAGCCTCTGGCCCCGACAACCGTACTCAGCTCCTCAGAGCCCTGCGAGAGATGATGAGGTCTGGTTGCCATAATAATGGTGGCAGCGTTGCTCTGAGCTCCACAGTGATGCTCGTGGACGCAGCGGGACACGCTGGAGGACCGCCGGAGTTTCTGCAGACCCTCCAGCTCCTCCGACAGCTCGTCCGGCAGCTCAGCTTCCCGCATGGAGAACAGCTCATACTGAGGCGGCTCCAGCACCTCCTGCATCTCTGCAGTGCTGAATAAACCTTTACGGCTCAAAACCTGCAGAAAATATATATTAGCAATGTCACATGTTGCTACAAGTTAAACGTCCATGCACCAATAAATAAATAAATACTAGGGTTTTAATGCTTGACATCAGTGTAAAAGGCCATTTCACAAACTATTCTACTTTAGTAATTTTATGTATTTCTGAGTGAAAAGGATTTTCAATGAGAAAAAAAAATGTAGAGAGGGATATGATTTGATTTAAAGAGGGATTTGTGACAAAAGGAAAGTTGTTTCAGAGGTGGAGAATTACATTTTGATAAAGGTTCGCAGGAGAAACACACAATATGACTGCGTTTGTGCATTATCCATGCTGTCAGATAGAGCTGCTTAGTTTTGACAAGAATTATAATCATTATTGAGATAACAAATATCTACCACCATTATTTATTGACTTCATCATGGATTTATTAAACTTAGTAAATGAAAAACGTGCTAAACTGAAAAACTTGAGTTATAAAGGTGATAAGTAATTTAAAGTAAATATGAGTGTGTGTATATATTTATATATAACACAAGGCAAAATATGTACATCATTGCAAAATGGAATTTAGCACAATAATCGATTTACCTCGTTTTACCCCGTATGGATGTTCTTTTGATTAAAGTTTTTGAAAATAACCATTTTTTTCTTTGGAATAATATTCACGGGTGAATCATTAACAATTAGACCAGGAACATGAATTAAAAACGTAAAAAGTCAGTTTATTTACTTATTATGTTGAATTCATTTGCCAAACTAGTGAATTCCTATTAAACTGCAAAAACAAAGGTTTTCCATAAATCAACTCTTGCTATTGGTCAAACAAACCAACAGGCCCAAAGTCACACCATTGGCTGGGTCAATATTGCACTCTTGCTGAAGCTGAAATAAACAAAAGCACGAGTAATGTTTTGATAGCGCCACAGTGTTTACTTTTTTCAGGGAAATCAAACTACAAATGGCTTATGTATATAAGAGGCTGATGAATAAAACATTTTTAAGAAAATTTTTCACGTTGAAAACCTATATAACTTTGATGTGCATTTCTAACACCTATGAGGCTGGTTTGTCATTCTAAATGGTGATTTCTCAATATGAATAGTCACCTTCTTTCTCGGCTGCTTCATCTGTATAAATACAGATATGATGAGAAGAAGAAAAACAATACCAGTGGCCACTCCAATCACAGTGCAATGAGTTTTACTCATATGCTGGAAAAAACTTTTAGACTTCTTTTCTGAGAGAGACGGGACAACAAAGACAAAAGAAAGCAGAAGAGGACAGGGTCATGAGTGATGAAAAATTCACATTTTCCACCTAAATCAGAACAATGACAATAAAACTGAATTCATGAATGCTTATTACTGCTTCACATAACCAGGGCTCATGCCATTTTCTGCACTCCATACTGTAATAACCCTTGAACCCATGACGTCCAATCCTTCATAGACTAAAAATTCTGTATGCATAAATATTATGTGCTTTATATACATGCTTTATCAACATTCATTTAGTGGACATCAGTTCATTGAGGTCAAACCCCTGAACGAGGGAATCTAGTTCTGTGAAAGATATGAAGAAAGCTTTTGCATCACATTAGCGACACTAGTTGGAAAACGGTCGTGAAAGCACATTTTTACCTTTGCAATTTTTCTCATCCCAGGGAAACACACAGTTCTGAACACCATTACAGACCAGAGTATTGTTGATGCACATGTTGCTGTGACAGAAAAATGCATTGGCCGAACACGGAGCTGCAAAACAGAGTTTTTAATGAGATGAAAGCCAGACAAACATGCAATGCCCATAATGTCCACATGGTGGACTTCTTACACCACATGTTCGAAATCTAGTACCATTGGTTATGTCATGCAAAACTACTGAAGCACAATATTCTGACAGATTTTGTTTAGTTAAAGATGTTTTTTGTGTGCTTTTTATAGTTATAATGTATTCCAAGAAAAGGTCACCCAAAAAGTTGGAAAATTAGATTTAAAAAAAAAAAATCTCATTTTGCATTCAATGGAAAAATAACATCATATGTGTATAGACCAGGGGTAGGCAAGTTCGGTCCTAGAGAGCCGCTGTCCTGCAGAGTTTGGCTCCAACACTGAAAAAAACCTCTCCTGCCTATAGCCTTAGTAATCCTGAAGACATTGATTAGCTTGTTCAGGTGTGTTTGATTAGGGTTGGAACTAAATTCTGCAGGACAGCGGCTCTCTAGGACCGAACTTGCCTATCCCTGGTATAGACCGACAAGTAATGACAGAATTTTCCTATTTTTGGTGAGCTATAAATTTAATAAAATTGCAGAAAGTAAAAAGGTTTGTGAATGCTTACGTTCAGCAAAGACCGTAAAGAGCATACGGAACCGACTCAGCTTGCTGTTCTCGTCGGCCCACAATCGAACAACACCCACGGAATTGTCAAGTGTGATGTCATTGGCAACAGTGCTGCAGAACTTGGCCTTTAGATCTTCAATGGCATTACTGCCTTCATAGATCGCAACAAAGTTTTTCTTACACTCATTTGAGTTCTCCAGCTGATACTCCAGAAAGCGGAGATAGATCTGTGTGTGAAATAGAGACACAAACAGAGACAGGTAATGCTACTGTAAGTATGTATAATGATACACACAGGGCTCCGGTGCAAACAAAATTACAGCATGCGACAGTGAAAATATATTTGGTTGCTCCGGTGCGAATGACCCGATCAAAGCTAATGAACAACAAGTGTGTAATCAAATACGAATTAAAACTACAAATGCCAAAATGCATCCAAACTGCACAACAGTTCAGTTTTGCACTGTGATTGGCTGCTTTAAATGCCTTCAGTCAACACAGCAAGTGCGAGATAGTTTTGTGCGAGGAACTACACGGAGGTGCAGCAGGTTAACGTGATGTGTGATTTCAGCACGGTTGCAAATGTGATATTGATTTATCTTATTGTGATTTGTGATATTGATTTGTGATACTGATGAATAACCAAGAAGTTAATTTTAAGTGACTTACGTTTTAGGCACAATATTGTCTGGTTTTGTTCTATTTCATCAACAAAAATAGTTCCAAACAAAGTCCCAGCTGAGCCGCTGGCATTTCCGAGAAAACACACAGCGATGTTTTGTTAATGAATGAATCTGTTTGAATCGGGTGAGTGAAAAATTCAGTGACCCATTCACAAATGCTGTGTCTCAATTCAGAGGCTGCATCCTTCGAAGGCTGCATTCGAAGGCCGAATGCGTCACCGCAGCGCGACGAAGGCTGTCCCAATTCGAAGGCTCCTTCAAATGTGTCCTTAGTTTCCTATGAAATGAAGGATTAAACAGATGGACCCTTCTTGGCCTCACGTACCACAGAATTCATTGTGTGCCAGTGATGACAGGATTTTTTTTAAATAAATTGCAGGAGTACACTTTTAAATGTAAGGATTGGGTTCTACTTACTCAAATAATCTAATGTATCTGATGATAAAAATGTTAATTATATATATATATATATATATATATATATGTGTGGGAGCCATTTGCTATTGTTGATGTAGTGGTGGTGGTCAACACCAATAGCATCCAGCTGCAGCCCCGCAGACTCACTTCTCGATAGACACCAGTGGCTGGACACCAGTGGATGGACAGCCTACGTCATTTCCGTTTTCTCCGTCATTTCCGTTTTGCCGCTAATTTCCGTTTTCACCGCTGGATAGACAGCATATTTATTTTATATTTTCACCTCTGGATAGACATATATTTATTTTATATTTTCACCTCTGGATAGACAGCATATTTATTTTATATTTTCACCTCTGGATAGACAGCATATTTATTTTATATTTTCACCTCTGGATAGACAGCATATTTATTTTATATTTTCACCTCTGGATAGACATATATTTATTTTATATTTTCACCTCAGGATAGACAGCATATTTATTTTATATTTTCACCTCTGGATAGACAGCATATTTATTTTATATTTTCACCTCTGGATAGACATATATTTATTTTATATTTTCACCTCTGGATAGACAGCATATTTATTTTAGATTTTCACCTCTGGATAGACAGCATATTTATTTTCTGTTTTCACCTCTGGATAGACAGCATATTTATTTTATATTTTCACCTCTGGATAGGCATATATTTATTTTATATTTTCACCTCAGGATAGACAGCATATTTATTTTATATTTTCACCTCTGGATAGACAGCATATTTATTTTATATTTTCACCTCTGGATAGACATATATTTATTTTATATTTTTACCTCAGGATAGACAGCATATTTATTTTATATTTTCACCTCTGGATAGACAGCATATTTATTTTATATTTTCACCTCTGGATAGACATATATTTATTTTATATTTTCACCTCTGGATAGACAGCATATTTATTTTAGATTTTCACCTCTGGATAGACAGCATATTTATTTTCTGTTTTCACCTCTGGATAGACAGCATATTTATTTTCTGTTTTCACCTCTGGATAGACATATATTTATTTTAGATTTTCACCTCTGGATAGACATATTTATTTTAGATTTTCACCTCTGGATAGACATATATTTATTTTATATTTTCACCTCTGGATAGACAGCATATTTATTTTCTGTTTTCACCAGTGGATAGACAGCATTCTTTGCAGGCTTAATTGCACACATCTTTTCCGTATTGTCATTTTACTTTTATGACTTAAAATATATAATATAAAAGCTGTGTGCAAATTGAAATATGATCTTTATCATATCTCTTTACATAAAACAATTCTCAATTATATACCTAATATAATAACTTCAATAATTCATGCAAACTGCATTCACAAGAACCACCTTGAAAATATATATTGTTCAGATCATATCACTATTTTTTGTGACTTAAATTCAGCCTAGATCAATGGACTATAACGTTTTGTCAATACAACAGACTTGTACATGTTAATTGACCACAGTTTTTTGCCTTGCCCATTTGGATATTCAATTCTTTTTTTTTTTTTTTGTAAATGTAACCACTTCTGTTTTTAAAATATACGTAGATTCACATGATCAGACAATTTACCAAACAATCCAGATCAAATTAACACTTCATGGTTTTGCAATATTTATTGGAAATTACACAATCTAATTAGTAAAATTAGTCAAATCTGACCATCAGAATGAAGATGCCACAGTCAGGCCCGTAAGGTTGTGGGGGAAGTCCCTATTTCAAGAGAATAAACTATAGACTATAGACCAAATAAACTATTGGCTTTATGCACAGCTTAACTACTTCCTGAACTTCAGCCAGCCCTTTGTTTCCTGTCTGTCATTATTGGACAAACTGATTAATTCAGGTGTGCCTGGCCTCAGTAACAATAATCAGGCACACCTGGACTAATCAGTTTGTCCAATAATGACAGACAGGAAACAAAGGGCTGGCTGAAGTTCAGGAAGTAGTGAAGCTGTGCATAAAGCCTATTGCACACTGTGCACACCACACCTCATTCCTGCCCCCTAAAACTGGCTGTCTGGGCAATGCTCAGGAAATTCAGGGTCTGTATAAAACCCTCGCAGGTCTCCACGTCTTCCGTTTCCACGGTACCCCACCCAGTCTTTGAAAGAACATCTGCAATTTCTGCATTGTACAATTTTAAAAGGGACACACATGTCTCTTACAGCCTGGGGCAGTTTTTTGACATTCACCACACCTAAAGCAAGAACAGATGTACAATATGATTAGAATGAGCATGTTTATATTTAACTATATTAGAGTACAAGTGTTCTATTGTAGCAACCTAGCTCTAGAATTGAGGCACACCAGAGTTCACTACCTTTAAAAAACACGACAAAGTACCTTGAAAACAAGACGATTTTTTAACTAGCTAGTTTGTGCATTTGAATTCTGACATGACCTATAAATCATCGACAGTTTATATTTTTTTTTCTTACCGCTGACATCAGCATGGCGCGTCAAATTTGAAAAGTGAATGACGATACGGAAATGACGATACGGAAATGACGTAGGCTGTCCATCCACTGGTGTCCAGCCACTGGTGTCTAGCGAGAAGTGAGTCTGTGGGGCTGCAGCTGGATGCCTCTCGTCAACACTAGAGGGCAGTGTGCTTGTGCTATAGTAGCGAAGGTCACGGTGGCACAGGGGCGCCAGCTGATTTAATGCACAGGTGTAGCGAGGGAAAGTATGCTAGGGTGGCGGGGAGATCACACGGTTTTTACCGCTGGCACGCCACAGCTAGATTAGTCCTCACGTTTGCATATACTTTGAACTCTGTAAACCATCTTTCTATTAAATGGGAACATCACCCAAAGACGCTAAACGTTGTGGACTTCAAATTCATCCGAAGTGGACAAACAGCGCGTCAAAAACAGGATCTAGCCCTCACCCTGCCGAGTGTCTGATTTGCGTTAAGACAGTCACTACAATATATATACACTATATTGCCAAGAGTATTGGGACACCCCTCCAAATCACTGAATTCAGGTGTTTCAACCACTTCCATGGCCACAATTGTAGCTATAGCTAAATCCATATCACAGATTTTTTTATTTTTATTATTATTATACCAGTTTCACACTATATGACTGTATATTTTTTTCCAAGCATGACTGGGTGTTAACCACATTTTTTACTGACTGAGAGAGGAAATGCTGCAGTATTGACTTAGAATGCCCTATTTTACTGTCATGAGTGAATATTGTAGAGAAAGTCCACACTAGTATTAATAAAAGATTGGAAGGCCGTTTACAAAGAGGTGCCAGGAGGAGGCGCTTTAGGAGCGGCAGAAATAGCTGTTCTCTTTCATCATCTCGTGTTCGAGATCCACCTATGAGAAGGGCATCCGTACCTGACCTCTGCAGAAGCATCCAATTGCACCAAGTCTGACAAGACAGACAGAAGCGCGCAGCCAATGCCAGGTAAGGCCACACCCCCTTACCTGAGGGCATATAAAGCCTGCATGCGCTACTGTTCTACAGTTGACATTTGCTTCTCGCGATCTCTGCACTTACACAGTTCGGTTGGATTTACACTGCTCACTTGCGTGTCTTTAGGAGGACATATCACCAGATCAGCCTCCCCGGACGTGACAGTCGTTTATTCAGCCTGATTAGCTGTGTTCTGCATCCGGAGCCGCCCGCGCTCTCGCTTTTCTCACCTGCTTCCCTTCCACGGCTGCCCGACACGGATTTTTCGGAGTTTTTCACCGGTATGTCGCTGTCTAAATCTGCCGCTTCTCCGGGGAACAGCCTATCACGGGCCTGCCCGGCCGCGTGTGGTGCGCTAATCGCTGCTAAGGACCTTCACTCTTTCTGCGTGGTCTGCTTTGGGCCTCAAAGACGCTCAAGAAGCCTTGGAGAACCTGTCGCAGCAACGATGTGATGACAAAAAAAAGGAGGATGAGGCCTTCAAGTTATGCCTTCCTAGGAAGGCGGCCCCACGCCAGGTGCCCCTTGTGCGTTTGCCTAACCCCCCTGTCACGGGACGAAATTTCCATCAGGGCAAGGAAAGGCCCCGCAACACCCCATGTGTTCAGTGGACGTTGCGTTCTCCCCCCACGTTCAGGGGGTCTGTTGTGAGAAAAAGTGCAAAAGCAGTGTCACCACACCACACTTACTCTGTTTCCCTCACCCAATTATTAAAGGCTTCGGCCCCAGTATTCCCCCAACACAAAACACAAAAAAACAAACGAAACGAACGAGTAAAACAAACAAATCGAATTAATTCGTTACTGAGAGAGGACCTCTCTGCAGAGAGATATCATCTCCCTGCAGAGAGAGAAAATCTCTGTGAAACCCTGCATGTCACCCCTAGTCCACTAGAGCCATGAGCCAGCAGGGCATACACAGCGCCGCTTCGGCTCGTATGGGAACACTCGAGAGTCACGAATTGGCTTGGCAAACTGTTTCGGCTCCCAAGCCTTAAATCACCAAGAGCAATGCAAAGCATCAGATGCAGTGGTGTAAAGCACGCCGCCACTTAGTCTCAGCCTCAGACGTCACGCCCACGGAACGTTGGCTAAACGTCTGATGCATATGGTACACTTAACTGGAAACACTTCAGGAATGTCGAAGTCGTCATCTGATTGGTTGAATTTTATCGGATTTCCGGGGGGCGCGAGTGTCGTGTTTATTTTCGGTCCGCCGGGAAACAAAGCGCAGACGTGTGATTGCGGAAGAAAAACTAACGTTGTGTTTACATGAGTGACAATGAGCATTTATCAAGATCAGCTAAACGTAGGATTCTCAAAAGTATGCGAGGTTCACGGCATAGACTCTTGAAGTTTTCTTCTCCTTCTTTGATTTTCTATGCTGACTGACGGGTTGCACGCCGGTCTGTTGTTGTGGGGACATTTCCACGCACCGAAACGTGACGCTGAACGAAACGAACTGTAATTGGTTGTTTGACATGTCGGTCAAACGGCCTTATGGGCGGGCCTTGGCCAAAGAAAGCTGCTATGAATTCCAGACCTTCAGCCGTCAGTCTGAAGGTCTGGCTACGCGAGACTAGCCCCCACTGGACTCTAGAGCAGTGACTGTCTGGGAATCTGATGGACGAGTCTGGGTTTGGCGGTTGCCAGGAGAGTGGTTCTTGCCTGACTGCATTGTGCCAAGTGTAAAGTTTGGTGGAGGGGGGAATATGGTGTGGGGTTGTTTTTCAGGGGTTCCAGTGAAAGGAACTCTTAATGCTTCAGCATACCAAGACATTTCGGACAATTACATGTTCCCAACTTTGTGGGAAGAGTTTGGGGATGGCCCCTTCCTGTTCCAACATGACTACGAACCAGTGAACAAAGCAAGGTCCATAAAGACATGGATGAGTGAGTTTGGTGTGGAGGAACTTGAATGGCCTGCACAGAGTCCTGACCTCAACCTGATAGAACAACCTTTGGGATGAATTAGAGCGGAGACTGCGAGCCAGGCATTCTCGTCCAACATCAGTGCCTGACCTCACAAATGCACTTCTAGAAGAATGGTCAAAAATTCCCATAAACACACTTCTGAACCTTGTGGAAAACCTTCCCAGAAGAGTTGAAGCTGTTATAGCTGCAAAGGGTGGGCCAACTCCATATTAAACCCTACGGATTAAGAATAGGATGTCATTAAAGTTCATGTGCATGTAAAGGCAGACGCCCCAAAACTTTTGGCAAAATAGTGTTTATATAGTATTATAGTATATTATATTATATATAAATAAAGCAGTTCAAATGTTGACGTATACGGTATCTTACCAAGATGCGATTTTATATAGTTTATGAGCATTTTCAGGTGAGCATATTTAGACAGGTTGTGAACCCTGTATTATTTTCAGACAGTTTGATATAACTTTTAAAAAACGTCCAGTATAAATGTTACTTTCACTCATCAACAGCAGCTGTCACAGTTGCTAGGCGACAATAACAGTACTCCGTAAGCTAGGCCGTCTCGTTTAACAATGTTCAGTCCGACCTTCGCTCCCTCGAAGGCGTGGTCTTTGAAGACCGAGTCCTTTGAAGGATGCAGAATTTGAATTGGGACACAGCCAAAGACAGTCACTTGCTTTGTTCCTGAAAGAATCAGCTGTTTCGAACGAATCTATTGAATGATTGATTCAGTAACAAAGACAGTGACCTGTTGCCACCTACTGCTGGTTTTACCATTTCAATTATTTTAATCATTCAATATTTCTATATTCAAAACTTCACATTTTAAATTGAAATAAAGCTAAATTGAAGAACTTGACATAAAAGATGACATTTAATAAGGTTAGAAGAAAATGCCACACACGTTAAAAGGTTAAAAAAAAACATCCCTGGAAATAAATTTAAAGAGGCAAATATTCCCCTGTAAAAGTTGATCAGAAGGTGCACCTTAATTTTTGACTGTGCTCCTATTTTATTTTATTGCACAAGTACTCCTAAAAATAAATGTAAGTGTAGAGCCCTGGCATATAAAGTTTTATTATAAATGCTCTATTAATTTTTTTTTAATTCTAATTCTGTGGAAAATATTTTATATAAAGACGTTGAACTACATAACTGCTCATTCTTCCCGGCAACCTATTTCCTACAAAGTTGTACTAGTTTCATGGTCACTATCCTCTCACATAATAAAATAATTTCAGTATTTAATGTCCATTTATTTATTTATTCGGTAAAAAGTTGTGTAAGAAGCAGCATACATTATCATAAAATGAACCCCCTCCATGGTAATACAAAACCATCTACTTGATCTCAGTGACTGTATATGATCCCTTACTAATTAATGTGAGAGGAACAGATGTTTACCCAGGGCTGCATTACTAACCTTAGACATCGGTGGAGCTCGTATGGTCCAAATACAATCCAATGCTTCCCCTGATTTCACCTTGTTTTGCTCGTCAACTTGACTAGATTTGATTATACCATCTGATCCAGACATTTCAAACTGACAGTCTGAGGGGAAGAGACAACAGTAAAGATAAAGACAATTAAATCAACATTATAGCACTCAAATATAATAACATTATAGCTTGAGAAAGAGACCCGAGAGTCTGCAGACAGCAGCTGTAATACTAATAAATTCTGGGGCACTGAAATATTTAGTTGTTTACACAACTGATGCACTAAAGATGGAATTTACATTTATATTTGTTGGGCTCGGTAACCATAGCAACTGAAAAAGAGAATGCATAAAGTGTTAGGTAGCAAAAACCTTTAAAAAATATCAAGCACCAAGATAAAGTCTGTTTCTGCAGGACATCCAAGGTCAGGTTTAGTAGTTTATTTAAACAGTTTAAATTATTGGTGCACAAAAAAACACAACTATAACTGCACAATTTCCAACCATAAACTGTCATGATAAATGTCATGATTCTTAAACAAATTTTACATAAGAAGTTGGTTTGCAGAAGCTTTTATCCAAATCAATAAATGGGACAAACCCCCTGGAATAACCACCTCCCAACCCATGCTCCATATATAAGTGTTATCCGTTTACCTGGAATGGGATTCAAGAGTCCTCCAACATGGAGATGAAAATCTGGATCTGGATGCAAGTGAGGTTTTTGGATGATAAAAAAAAAATCAAGTGCAACAAAATAAATACAAAAGGAGCAGAGCAAAAAGGCATTAGAGTAAATGATTCTAAAATCTAATTGCATGAAGAATTGCAAGATGCATTTACCTGCAGTATATGAATACTCCACCCTGAAACCCATGCCTTCCAGCTCCTCGTCACTAATAAATCTGATCCACATGAAGCGTCCAGAGGAGGTGACAATCCCTGGACTCTTTGCCCCACAGAACCGATTAATCAAGGGAGAGAAAACAAACGGCCCATCACGGATTTCAATGTTATCAAAGCGGCACTCGAAGGACGGCTCGATGTAGTAGATGTCATCGAAGGCGAGCTGGATTCTCTTCCGTGGATGGGCTGATGTAGACAAGAAAAAGGTTAGGACTAACATGTCTATGTCTGTTGTGACTGAGAAACATGCACTACTGTTCAAAAGTTTGGGTGTGATAAGATTTTTTAAATGTTTTTAAAAGAAGTCTCTTATGCTCACCAATACTACATTTATTTGATCAAAAATACAGTAAAAACAGTAATATTGTAAAATATCATTACAATTTAAAATAACTGTTTTAATATAATTTAAAGTGTGATGCAAAGCTGAATTTTCAGCATCATTACTCAAGTGTTCAGTGTCACATGATCCTCCAGTAATCATTCGAATATGCTGATTTGTTGCTCAAGAAGAATTTATTATTATCAATGTTAAAAACAGTTATTCCAATGTGATTTATCATTTATTTGAAATAGAAATCTTTGGAAACATTATAAATGTCTTTTCTGTCACTTTTGATCAATTTAATGTGTCTTTGCTGAATAAAATTATATCAAATTAAAGAATTAATTTCTTTATAAAAAATAAAGAAAACGGCGAATTTTACCAAAACAACGAATAGGAAAGAATAAGTATCTTTGCTTGTGGAAGTGAGACTCATACCCTCCAGTATGTACACACACTCCTTGTTTGGTGGGTAGGTGTTGGGGTAGTTTGGGGAACTGAATGATCCTCCATTTGCAGTCTGGATCAAAGTTCCACAGTGAGCAGGCTTCTTATCCTCAACAGCCACATTCTGAGGCAAAGCTAACAGCGCACGTACGCGCACACACACACACAGACAAGATGATCTACATTAAAGGTAATGGTTATTAAAGCAAAACAGATATCAAACAATTTTTTAAAAATGAATTCATTTAAATCTCTCTCACACTGGAAATATAACATGTGGCTTAGCAGGCAAGTTCATAATTCAAATTTACCTTGAGTTTTCTGTGCCAATGCGAAGCCCTCCTCTATCAGGATAAGCAGAACCAAGACTGCAAGAAAACATTTTGTTTTTTAATTATTACAATTTAAAAAAGCTGTTTGAGGATATTTTCAAATGTCATTTATTCCTGTGACGTAAAGCTGAATTTTCAGCATCAAAACTCCAGTCTTCAGTCACATGATCCTTCAGAAATCATTCTAATACGCTGATTTGCTGCTCAAGAAACATTTATTATTATTAAATGTTGAAAACAGTTGTGCAGATTAATATTTTTGTGGAAACCGCGATCATTTTTGTCCAGGACTCTTTAATGTCTAGAAAGATCTAAAGTACAGCATTTATTTAAATAAAAAAAGCCTTTTATCTTTTGAAACATTATAAATGTCTTTACTGATCAATACTGTGTAAAAGGTGGATGTTATATTGTGTCATGTCAATTAAGTTTAAAATAAAAATTCAATATACAATAACTCATGACATACAGGTGAAACTCGAAAAATTAGAATATCGTGCAAAAGTTAATTTATTTCAGTAATTCAACTTAAAAGGTGAAACTAATATATTATATAGACTCATTACATGCAAATTTTGATGACTATGGCTTACAGCTTATGAAAACCCCAAAATTCTAAATTAGAATATTGTGAAGTTTTTCATAGCTGTAAGCCATAATCATCAAAACTATAACAAATAAAGGCTTGAAATATCTCACTTTGCATGTAATGAATGAGTCTATATAATATATTAGTTTCACCTTTTAAGTTGAATTACTGAAATAAATTAACTTTTGCACGATATTCAAATTTTTCAAGTTTCACCTGTACATCCACAGGTTCAGAGTTTCCAATTTACAAGGTTTATTAAAAAGAAGATGACACCTGCCCAGGATTTGAACTCAGAACATTTTGCAATCATAGCTCTATATCTTGATGTCATTGATTATGCTTAACAACAAAGGTTTTTAAATATACTGTAGCATGTGTTAGGCAGGGTTGTGTTTAAGACATTGCATGTGACTTTCGTGACATGAGAGGTTGAGAGTTAGAATTAAAATACTAATATTATCAAAGCAATTTCATAAAACGTGATGGGAAGTTTTACGGTGAGATAAACCAATTGCTAATATTTGCTCATGTTTCTCACCAAAATAATGGAGTAATATGTAGATTTCTAAACTATCATTTGTAGCAGACAACTGCCATTTACAGTATAATGGGGACCTAAAACGTATAATACAGCATAATAGGAATAACCCAATTTCTACACCAGTATCTTTTTTACAGACAACTATCTTGAGGGACTAATTCATACTGTTCATGCATTTGTAAAGTGTGGTTTCACTGAGGGTTTGTAGAAGAAGCTATAAATGATGTTATGACCTGAAGGAATCTCAAATTCCATTAACAAATATACTATGGTACTACCATGGTTCCATTGGAATGCTATGGTATTCTTTTAAGTATTTTGGAGTAGGCTACCAAGCGTTGTAAAAATTTCAACCCATTACAACTGAAATTTGAAGTTTAAATGCTGCATTGAGTTTTAAATGGCACAGTATAGTTGACGATTTTGGCTAGTTAGATGAAGAGAGACAAAGATGCTATTATGACAATTATGGAAACATTTTATAGTGATTGAGGCAAATTAATGCGGTGACTATCATTCAGCACCATGGTATAGCCATCTCTGACATAATAATCACTGTACTATGGTAATACCACAGTAGGCTACTTTATTGTAAATGTAGCCTACATCACATATTTACAATTCTCAAAACATGTTTGACACTTGTACAAATACGTTAACAGATTTAGACAGCCAAAAGTAGCATTCAACAACAACAAACTCACCTTCATGCATTTCCACTTTCACTGAACACTTTTGCTCTCGTGAGATTTGCTGTCTACATTTTCAACGACATGAAGTTAAGACTGTCGCAATACGGATCTGCAACAGATTTCATGAATAAAGAAGCATCTCGTTCCTAGAATAAATTCGAAAAAATCCATTGAAAGCACACAAATTAAACTGTATAAGGTATGGCGTTTGCAGAAACTCTTGAGCGCTGTGCTTCTGAACAGCGAGTTTTCATATTGACACTGAGACTGAGAGGAGAGGAGAGGAGAGGGGGGGGGGGGGGGGGGGGGTCTTGGCTCATGAATATTAATTAATTTAATCATGACCTACACACAGTTTGTATTAACTACGTGTGTTAATACATCATTTTATGTTATGTATAATACGACATTAATATAATATTATTTTTATTATATTTATATTGTAGATATTTAAATATGTTTAAAATATTAGAAATATATATAAACGCGAAATAAATAATGAAATATTAAATTGAGACTATAAATTATAAATACCGTAATTAAATATACTATGTCATGACAATGACAGCAGCATCCGAACTGCTTTAGGCACTCAGTCAGGGCTGAGGTTAGTCAGAACTACCATATTTTAGTAACCTACTAATATTTTGTGCAGCATTTTGCGTCTTTGCTCAAAATTTGGAGGCGGCACAGAGCCTGTACAGAGCAGTCTTAACTCGGCTGTGTAAAGATGACTTAGGTTCTCAATCCTGGTCAAAAACACCTCACATTCTGGGGGTCTCCCTGGACACACACATTTCAGATCTTGAACTCTCTATTAATGAGCTGATAAGTTGTCAATCAGTCATGTTAGATTAGAAGGCATCTAAAATCTACAGAATTCCAGGACCAGGATTGAGAACCACAGCTCTAGGAAGATTACAAAGAAGCATCCACATGACCTAAGTAATATTCACAAGCTAAGTCTTGGTAGTAGGATTCGTAATATTGCAGATGGGGTCCACACAGCTGTTGAAGACAAGGGATTTGAGACTTAACACTGTCTCTCGGAGGGGTCTGTCCCACCCATGCACGCCTGATAAGCAGTATGGGGACTGATGCATGTTGCAGAAGCTGATTACATGGTTGCTGTAAGGATATTCTAATAATATCGGCCTTTCTACGTGTGATCACGTAATGCATTGACTGTCAAGGCTTGTTGCACACTATATCTTTAATCACGGCAAGCATCACTATTATTATTGCTCATAGAGCCCTGACCCTCAGTATTAAACGTTGTATGTTGTCCCACACTTTTGTGGTGCAAATATGAATTATGCGACTCTAAGCGATCAGATTTATGATTTTTGCTCAGAATATTATAGAGGCTTGCCTTGGAGGGAGCTGGAGATAATCTTGCAGTCATCAAACCTGGCAAATAATTTCCCATAATTGTATATTGAAATATGCATTATAATTTTCATCCATGTGCATGTTAAACCCATATTCAATTAACAGGCCAGATTTTTCTAAAGTAAAACTTCGGCACTGCAAAAAGTGCCTCTTGAATGAAGCTCCAGACCGGTTAAAATATATGCACTGCTTAAATGATCACAGAACAGTTATTCTCCATTCATGCCCCAACAAGACCATGCCTGCTGACAACTAACATAAAAAGGACTTTCATAAATAACTTAAGCTACCAGTGATGTGTGATGGCACTCATTTGCAATTAAAATGAAGTTCAAACTCCCTTTCATCTCTTACTGAGAAGATGAGATTCTCACCTGAGAATAGAGATTCTACCACATTCATTTACAATGGCCTAGATAAGGCAATGAAGCCACTCTTACTGTGGTGAAGTCAGCATGTAACCACAGGATTATATGGGTATCCACATTCATGTAATGCACATAGGCCACGTGTTACGTAAGAGAACAATGCATTGATGGATGCCTTGGTTTAGGATGTTTTTCTTAACAGGTAAAAAGATCAATGCAAATACAATTATTTTAGCTGCTACATTCGCAGCAGGGTTTGTTTCTCTAGGCAGAAACTGAAACACAAATACAACAATTGTGCCATAAGGAGAAAACAAATGTTTATTTAATTCCGTTATCATGTTTTATTTATGAATGTAGAATATTATTCCAAAAAGATTGTCTTCCGAACTTTTTTTTGGCACATAGAAAGTGTTTTGGGAATGTCTCATGTAAAATGGGTTGTGTGAAAATCACAGTGATTCACATTATTTATATATCATATTTAGCTTTTTCAAAAGAACCAAAACAGTTACATTTAACAATTGCACAATGTTTTCTAGTTACAGTTACAGAGCAAAATGTAAATAAAAAATAAATAAAAAAAGTGTGCAATGTGATAATTTCTGTGATGCTGTTAAAAAAAAATGTATCCGAGGAAATCACATTTATATTGGATTCAAAATAAAACTTAAAAAGTTCAAAAGGAGCATCAGTTATGGCATTATTTGTGCAGCATCTAAGTTCATGACTTGTATCTGTCTGCACGCGACTGCAGATCTAAATCAATCTTGCTGTCGCGTCTGGTTGAATGTTGAAGGATTAAGAAAAGAGTCAAATCTTTTTGTTAATCTGGTGCTTTGTGGAGATAGAGGGGGTTAAATTGCTAGTCGGTTTCCTGTCAGCTAACTTAATTTCGAGGAAGAAAAAAACTAAAATAAGGAATGGACTATCTATGCAAAACCATGTGTGAACCAGCTGTGAACCCAGACATGTAAACCATTTTACTTGATTTTATTTTTATTTGAATAATATTAATATTATTTTTTTTTAGTTTTTAATAATTACATTAAATGTTTAAATTAAATAAGCACTCATTTTATATAAATATGTGTTTAAATATGTATGTATGTATGTATGTATGTATGTATGTATGTATGTAGGCCCACTGCAAAGCTAACTGAATTTTGAGTGTGGAAGAAAGTCAAGTAACTTAATACAAACACTTACGACAGCCATATAGTGTCAGGGTTCTGTCACTTCTAGTTCATTTCATGGTTTTGTGACAGAGCTCTGACACTCGTGTTTTTTCTTGTCTTCCCAGGCGCTCTCTTGTCTGTGTACTTTGTTTCATGTCGGGATTCGGACATTCATGCTTGTGTTTTACACTGGCTGTGTTTTCATGTTGTCATGTTTTGTGTTAACACGTGGCTTATGAGTGCTCTCATGGTTTGTGTGAGCACATGTTTTGTCATGTATGTTTCCTTGTGCCATGTGCTCTCCTGTTTATTGTCTAGCCCTTCCCATCTTGTTACCTGATTATTTATTTATTTATTTGGCCCACCTGTCCTCCCACACACACACACACACACACACACACACAAACAAACAAACACACACTCGCAATGTATAGGATCTTATTAATTTTCTGGCTTCATCAGCAGAGCAGTAAGGATCCTATTGTCATCTAACACACGTGACATGCAATACATATGTAGTCCTAAGATAATGCACAACCACGATATCAACTATCAGAATCAGTTACATTGTAAGCTTCATATAAGATGCTTAATATTATAACTTTCAATTTATATATTCTTTCAAACCTACAGCAGAACAGCATAGAATACATGGTATATGCAGATAAACCCATAGCCGTATGTGTATGTGATTTGAGGGGTTAAGTCCAGGAAACATTCTGGATTAGAATATACCATGTGACAGAGCACACAATCAGACTGATTCCAAGGTGACATCAAAGATATAAGTGATTTTCTTCAGATATTTTCTTCAGATAACCCTTCAGCAAAGCAGCTTTAAGACTTTGCAAATCAGCCAAAGAGCAAAAACTAAGTGGCAAAGAAGAACAGCGTATCTATCTGCCATCTATATATCAGTAAACAAAGCTTTATTGGCATGATTTACAATATTGCTAAGGTAGTCTGACACATAATTTAAATCAAATTACATACAAAACTATTATATTGTTATATTTTAGGTTATTTACTAAATCTGTATTTTAAACTATACAGTTTAGCAATATTGTAAATGGCCGTATAGTGCAGAAGATCTGTCTATCCAGAGAACGAAAGAAACGAATGAAGGCAGCTGGCCTCTCTCTGTGAGAGCATGGGGAGGGAAATGGAGAGAGTCTTTCTGACTAAAGTCCTGATGTCAAGCAATCTGAGACTTCAGCAAATCTCTCAACATCCCTCAGACTAAAAATAACCACAAAATACATTAAAGCCACCAGCAACCCACTCACACCAAAGAGGTCAGATACTCATACTGATCTTCACTGCCTGACATCAAGTTAAAAAAACAAACAGATTTAACAGTTTTAATGAACTTTGTATTTACACTGGTAACTTTTCTCTTACTAGTCTAACTAACCTAAAAACTAAAATTCTGAAAACTTTTAATTCATATTCTTATTTAGCTACAGTCTGTAAATCTGTTAGATGTTTAAGTTTATAATCTTTGTCGCAGGGATGTCTGAAACGTGACCTTGTTAGAAACACAATGATTTTTGAAACAGAAACAGAAATCAAATGTGAAATCAGTGTCTGCTATAAAATCCCATGAGTTACATCATCAGACACATCATTATACATGTGATCAAAGACACAATGGAGAAAACCCATTTCCAGATTCTGATGCATGTAAAGTTTTGATTCTTGATTTTTTTTTCTTTTGGCTTCAATAAAACTGTCCAGAAATGCGCATTGTTTATGTCTGGTTTTTGAGAAGGGAATCTGTAATTTCCTTCTCAACAGAGGGATTGTATCTAAGTGGTGAGATGACAATTTTAGAACAGCAAAACAGGAATCTAAATCTGGAAAACATAAACACAACACTAATCCAACTTTGCTACTGTCTTTCCTCCGAAACACATGTTTCTAATCATCCCTTACTTTCTGTGCCAAAAGCTCCTTCCAAAAAGGACGAAAAAGCATGAAAATGCAGTGATAGACAGAGAGGAATTGAAATGAAGGGATTGAGAGTCTTAAGAGTGATAAGAGCTTCATCTCTATGTCTCGCACTCATTACACAAGCAGATTCTCACAG